GGTGGTGGCACTGTGCTCCTGGCACTTTGGGTGTGTGGTGGTGGCACTGTGCTCCTGGCACTCTGGGTGTGTGGTGGTGGCACTGTGCTCCTGGCACTCTGGGTGTGTGGTGGTGGCACTGTGCTCCTGGCACTCTGGGTGTGTGGTGGTGGCACTGTGCTCCTGGCACTCTGGGTGTGTGGTGGTGGCACTGTGCTCCTGGCACTCTGGGTGTGTGGTGGTGGCACTGTGCTCCTGGCACTCTGGGTGTGTGGTGGTGGCACTGTGCTCCTGGCACTCTGGGTGTGTGGTGGTGGCACTGTGCTCCTGGCACTCTGGGTGTGTGGTGGTGGCACTGTGCTCCTGGCACTCTGGGTGTGTGGTGGTGGCACTGTGCTCCTGGCACTCTGGGTGTGTGGTGGTGGCACTGTGCTCCTGGCACTCTGGGTGTGTGGTGGTGGCACTGTGCTCCTGGCACTCTGGGTGTGTGGTGGTGGCACTGTGCTCCTGGCACTCTGGGTGTGTGGTGGTGGCACTGTGCTCCTGGCACTCTGGGTGTGTGGTGGTGGCACTGTGCTCCTGGCACTTTGGGTGTGTGGTGGTGGCACTGTGCTCCTGGCACTCTGGGTGTGTGGTGGCACTGTGCTCCTGGCACTCTGGGTGTGTGGTGGCACTGTGCTCCTGGCACTCTGGGTGTGTGGTGGCACTGTGCTTCTGGCACTCTGGGTGTGTGGTGGTGGCACTGTGCTCCTGGCACTCTGGGTGTGTGGTGGTGGCACTGTGCTCCTGGCACTCTGGGTGTGTGGTGGTGGCACTGTGCTCCTGGCACTCTGGGTGTGTAGTGGCACTGTGCTCCTGGCACTCTGGGTGTGTAGTGGCACTGTGCTCCTGGCACTCTGGGTGTGTAGTGGCACTGTGCTTCTGGCACTCTGGGTGTGTGGTGGTGGCACTGTGCTCCTGGCACTTTGGGTGTGTGGTGGTGGCACTGTGCTCCTGGCACTCTGGGTGTGTGGTGGCACTGTGCTCCTGGCACTCTGGGTGTGTGGTGGCACTGTGCTCCTGGCACTCTGGGTGTGTAGTGGCACTGTGCTCCTGGCACTCTGGGTGTGTAGTGGCACTGTGCTCCTGGCACTCGGTGTGTAGTGGCACTGTGCTTCTGGCACTCTGGGTGTGTAGTGGCACTGTGCTTCTGGCACTCTGGGTGTGTAGTGGCACTGTGCTTCTGGCACTCTGGGTGTGTAGTGGCACTGTGCTTCTGGCACTCTGGGTGTGTAGTGGCACTGTGCTCCTGGCACTATGGGTGTGTGGTGGTGGCACTGTGCTTCTGGCACTCTGGGTGTGTAGTGGCACTGTGCTCCTGGCACTATGGGTGTGTGGTGGTGGCACTGTGCTTCTGGCACTCTGGGTGTGTGGTGGTGGCACTGTGACCTTGCAGCACACCAAAAAAAAGACCCAGCAGGTTCACGAGGTGTATGTACACAATGTGTACTCTCCCACTCGGTAATAGTACACACTGTGTACAGTGGTCCACCATAACGGTGTTGGAAGCGATGGCTGGAGACTTGCACCATTGACTTAACAGTCTGTACTGTAAACACTCCATTAATCAACCTATCATAATCTAAATCTATTTTATTTTCTAGATAATCTACTCTAAACCTATGCATCAACCCCCCAACATATAATCTATTCTATGAAGACAATGACATATAATCTATTCTATGAAGACAATGACTGTGTGTTTGTCCAGTCCGTCTTCCTAATCGAGCGTCGCAGTTTGACGTATACTCTACCTAAGGCCCAAAACTGTCGTACTAGAAAATGGAAGCGGCTCGCGAAATTGACATACTGTCCCGTTTTCTGCTTTGGGTCCTCTGGTAGGTTAGGATAAGGGCACTTTAATACGACAGTTTCTTAACGCTGGGAAACCTTAGGAGGACGGGCTGCTTTGTCTGTTCAAAGTTGGAGGCCATACACTTTATGCTAGTCTCGCCCATATTTGCAGTGCGAACGGTCTGAGGTACGGGACGGACATAGGCCGACCCCGACCAGCCTAGGTTAAATGTTTAAGAAATATGAACAATTATACCCCCCCCCCTCCTCCCCCATGCGATTTTCATGGAGTCAAGAGAGAAATATTTGGTGTAATTCCCTTAGAACTTTAAGTGGTCGTAATATATTTTCTGAGCCCCCATACACTTGTTTCAGTCCTTAATAATATATTTTCTGGGAGGAGAGAAGACGGGGGAGGGGGGGGGGAGGGAGAGAAAGATTTGAGACGAAAGGAACGAAGTGGAGGACCAAGGGGATGGGGCCGAGGGGAGATGGGGATGAAGAGTGAGAAAAGAGGGTGGACGGAAGAGACCCGGGTCCAGCCGGGTACCTCTTCTTATATATATACAGTTTGTGTCCGAGGTTAGAGGGGGAAGGGGAGGAGGGGGGTTGGATAGATAGATCCGATCCAATAGACGATCATTGGTGCGGTGGTCACGGTACTGTGTACGCTTAGGGGGTGATCCTGGTCGGCATGGGTTCGAATCCTGGCCGGGTCAATTAGAGTTCTTAGTGATCTATGGCTTGCGTTTTCCTGCAGCTTTCTCACACTGCATTATATATATATAATGCAAGAATGGGGGAGAGAGGTGGAGGTATACTTTGGGAAACCTTAGGAGGTCTCGTGCCCCCTATTCCCCCACTATGTGAGAGTGTGGGGGGGGGGGGGGAAGGGGAACAAGCCCCTGGTGGCGCAGTGGTAACACACTCGCCTCGAGCTCCCCGAGCGATTTAACCGAGGTTCGTATCCTAACCGGGGGGGAGGACCGACCAGGCGCCAATCCCTTATCTGAACACCTCTGTCCCACCCAACATAAATTGGGTGCCTGGTTGTAAAGTAATTGGCGGGTCGTATTCCAAGGAAACCATAGCGGTTAAGGCGACCACAATAACATGATGTATCAACGAGATAATCAGTAGAAGCCATAAGGAAGATTTATCAATACATCCCGCTACTGTGAGTTCCTCGTGCATTTGAAGAGAAGCACAGGAGGAAGAATTCTACCTAGAGAGGTAGAATCCCTTGACTACAAACTAGAGTGCGTGAGAACAATGTGTGAAACCCTGGTTTGGGTTCAGTGTAAGCCTCGCGGGAACCTTGAAATCTGAACCTGGGATTCGGAGGAATCCCCCAGGCTGCATTGCCTTGAACCATGTCGTGGTGGAGTGGTCTAGGGCGTGGCCTTGGGAGTGTGTACCAAGTGTGTGTGCGGGTTCGAATCCTCCTCATATAGCTCCTATACTGATGTTCTTGGTGGGCCCGGCTTACCATGAGCTATGGGAAGGGAAAAGCACTCGAGCCTGCCGACAGGAGTCAGCAGTCTGCCCCTATACCCACATGTGTAAAACAAAAAGAAAGAACAAAAAAGTATATAGAAGTGAGAGTTCGGGGGAGGGGCGGAGGTGTATGGAGGTGAGAGTGGGGGGAGAGTGTGAGGCAAGCGTGTGGTCGAGTGGCGAGAGTGAAGGTGAACGTGGTGGCCAGAGTGCAACTGGGAGACGGTGAGAGTGAAGGCAGGAGAGGGAAAGTGAGAGGTGAAAGTGTTAAGGGGAAGTACGAACATGTATCATCTACTCTACCACTTCTGTCCATCTCTCTCTCTATCTATATCTATCTCTATATCTCTCTCTCTCTCTCTCTACAGTGCACAGGAACAAGCAAACGAGAAAAGAAAGAACTCAGCCCATCGAGGGACTCGCCCACATGAGCAGACAGGAATGACTACTGTAACTGTACTTGCATCCCCTTCCCCTCTCAGATTGGCCTTTGGAACAACAGCAACCACAGTCCTCCACCCAAAGACAAAATTAGCTCAATTTATATGCGTAGCAATAGTCACTTACACGAGTGCCGGGAGCAAAGTTACAAGACACGGTTGTATAAAATCAACTCCCTAATATTGCAGTAACAGAAACAAAACTAACAAGTGTTATAAGAGGCCTTGACCTTTCCAGGATATAAAGGTAATAAAGAATGGTATTAATACACTCGAATTAATAAGGAATATCACTTCCAGAAGCAGCTCCAGGAAGGCTGGGGATTTAGGCACCAACCACCACAACACATTTACAACAACAACTGTGCTCGGGGATTTACGTACTAGGCACATATGGGATAATTTCAGCTACACAATTCCTGGAGACCTACATACTAGACACATGTGGGAGGCTTCCAGCTTCACAAGTCCTGGAGACCTACATACTAGACACATGTGGGAGGCTTCCAGCTTCACAAGTCCTGGAGACCTACGTACTAGACACATGTGGGAGGCTTCCAGCTTCACAATTCCTGGAGACCTATATACTAGACACATGTGGGAGGCTTCCAGCTTCACAAGTCCTGGAGACCTACATACTAGACACATGTGGGAGGCTTCCAGCTTCACAAGTCCTGGAGACCTACATACTAGACACATGTGGGAGGCTTCCAGCTTCACAAGTCCTGGAGACCTACATACTAGACACATGTGGGAGGCTTCCAGCTTCACAAGTCCTGGAGACCTACATACTAGACACATGTGGGAGGCTTCCAGCTTCACAAGTCCTGGAGACCTACATACTAGACACATGTGGGAGGCTTCCAGCTTCACAAGTCCTGGAGACCTACATACTAGACACATGTGGGAGGCTTCCAGCTTCACAATTCCTGGAGACCTACATACTAGACACATGTGGGAGGCTTCCAGCTTCACAATTCCTGGAGACCTACATACTAGACACATGTGGGAGGCTTCCAGCTTCACAAGTCCTGGAGACCTACATACTAGACACATGTGGGAGGCTTCCAGCTTCACAATTCCTGGAGACCTACATACTAGACACATGTGGGAGGCTTCCAGCTTCACAATTCCTGGAGACTTATATACTAGACACACGTGGGAGGCTTCCAGCTTCACAATTCCTGGAGACCTACATACTAGACACATGTGGGAGGCTTCCAGCTTCACAAGTCCTGGAGACTGACTTACCTCTTCTAAAACGTCGGCAATCTTGATGAGAGTTTCTTCTTGCAGCGCTTGGAATGTAGGCACGCTGAAACACAAGTGGAAGACATCGGTCAGTGATTGAAAGAAAAAACTAAATCTAAGCTAATAAGAAAATAAATTGCACACGTACAAAATATACAATGTTAACACATTTTATATAGACCAATATAAAAGATATAGGACCATCAATTTTGTAAGCAACTACAATATGATCGTAGATAATAAATGTTTAATAAATTGAGTAAAAATCATAAACCTAATTCAAGACCAACTGCCTGGTGGAGCCGACCCATCCACTCACCGTGGACACTTAACCATACTGTAGTCGTCCACATGAATACACATGAAATCAAACTACAACATACTATTGATTCCGGAACCTGTCATCAGGCTGAGCTCGTTAAAGCGGCAACCGGCCTCAAAGACGCATTCATCAATTTGAACGTAATATATATTATCAATAGGTTTTTCTAAAATATTTATTTCATTGTATATTAGAGTTCTACGTATGATTCAGACGTAGGTTAGGTTAGGTGTTTATGTTAGGTGTTTAGGTTTTGTTGGCGATTATTTGTATTTGAAGTAGGTGGGTGAAGCAGCTACAGCGTTGCAATTCGAACAGAGGTCGTCATGCAGCGAAGAAATGACCACCTCTGAAATGACGTTCAGGAAATGTTCGAACGTCATCAGTTGTGTGTCGTGTGTAAACAGTTTCGTATACATAAACACGTGGGTTGGATTAACAAACATTTCGTCTTTGGTGATGAGGACGGGCTAGGATCTAAAGCTCTTTGTTTGAAGCCTCATTAAGATATGCTACATGTACCTGGATTGTACCTGGATGGGGTTCTAGGAGTTGTTCTACTACCCCAGCCCGGCCTGAGGCCAGGCATGACTGGAGAGAGCTTGGTCCACCAGACTCGGGGTGTCTTAGCGGGTTTGTGGGGGTTAAGTTGTAGCTCCTGGGACCTTCATTTACCGATAGGTAGCTCAGTCGCTACACAGTCGACTTATTCCCAAAGAATTTCCCCTGGCAGGGCGAACCGCTGGGGCACGTTTCCTTACACCTGATGCCGCTGTTCACCAGGGATGCATCCTGGGGATAGGTCAATCCCTGGTCTAGGGAACCTTATATATATATATATATATACACATACATATAAAGTGAGTATGTGTATGTGAGAGACAAGAGAGAAAAAGAAAGAGACAGAGAGGCTGAGAGAGACAGACAGAATGAGAGAGAGAGAGAGAGAGAGAGAGAGAGAGAGAGAGAGAGTGAGTGAGAGAGGGGAGGATTGAAGAGGGAGGGAGGTGGGTTTGGGTTGGTAGGGGGGGGGGAGTGAGATAGTGTAGAGTGTGTGAGTGGGGAGAAGGGGGGAGAGGGGGGAGATGGGGGGCGGAGAGAGAGAGAACGTTGACACAACCATAAAGAAACACACGAGAGTACATCCACCCCACATTTCGTGAACGCACACATCACGTGACAACCACGTGCACTCTGCCCGGTAACTATCCCTCGCCCTCCCCCCCCACCCACTGACCCCCCCCCCCTTACCAAACACAACACCGTGGTGGGGGGATGGAGGGGTTAAAGTCAACTTGATGACTCAATAGTCTTAAAGACTCAAGAGCTCGTCCCTCGTCCTCGTGATGTTGTAAGGCCGCCTTCGCTGGTGTAACGTGTAGCCGAGGAACCACTCGGGTGCTGCATTATAATGTCTTAATTGTCTATGGGGTCACAGTGCTGGGCACTAGTAGGGACAATAGGCACTGTTCTACCCAGGGCTGATCCTAGGCCAACTGACCCAGTGTGACCCCCCCCTCCCTACAGTAGGGTTGGCACCTCCAGCTTTGGAAAAAAAATAACATGCTACATTGACACTGAAAGATCCTCATCAAGCTCATTCACCAAAATGCTATACTCAAGTGTTAGTTTTATGGTACATACTCGATGTTATGCAACTGGTTCAGCCTGCTGAGGTTGACCTCGAAGGTCTGCCGTTTATGGCTGAAGTCTGAGAAACTGGGAACGAAGATTATGACCAGAAGTTTAGAGGTCGATCGCTGTGGCCTGAAGCTTCGAGGTCCATGAATCCTAATTCCCTTAAGCAAGTCCGAGCTTACAGACTTAAGTCAGAGGCTAACTCTTCACCCTTCATGTATATACTATCCGAATGTAACAATGATTTATTTTTAATAGATCGGTTCGTGACCAAAATCGTCGTTATACACTAATCCTGTCTGAAATTAGGCGGCTGGCTTGAAGGTCACTACTGCGGCTGCGTTGAAATCACTATCAAAAATTGACCACAGAGTTAAGTGTATATTACATCCCAGCCCCATCCATGCAACCTATCCTCACAATGTACAACAATATCTTTCCTTATCAACCTCAGCATTACAACTGTGGTATTAGTGACATTAAAGGCAGAGTAACACTGACAGTTTCCTGAGACTAATCGGCATCAGTCTCGATAGGTTAGGTGCGCTGGTTTGGTTCGTACGCTTTTGGTAATGCAAACCCACTTCAAACTTAACGCTTGTCATATCGTAAGACTGGTTCCGTACATATCACGCAGCTTCTCTCGTACCTCCTTACAACTGACCTTATATTCGGTGTGTGTGTTGTCGCCATATTTGCCCAGCGCTCGCCTGCCTAACACTGTGTTGACATTTGTTATGCTCTATCAGTTTATTTACTTACGAGAGTCGTGTGATTTATGACACAACGACGACGACAAAAATTCAAGGTTTAGTCCCGCCCTTATTTACGACTGAATTCTATTAAATGTTTGTGCGTGCAGCTGTGGCTATCATCCTGCGGTGCCTGACGGCTTCCAGGACCTCAGTCACCTGATACCCCCCAAAAAACGCCCCGTGACGCAGTCACAATTCAGGACATTCCACTTCCACCTGCGTCACTGGATAAACATCTCTCTTTGTATCGGTATTAAGTCAAACACCAGCACCAAGAACAGGGGAAACTGACCACAGCTGGTGGAGGGAGGCTGACCACAGCTGGTGGAGGGAGGCTGACCACAGCTGGTGGAGGGGCTTCGCCACAGACCAACTCCCTTCACCAACCTGTGACTTACCTGCAAACACAACCCACTAGTGTAGAATGAAATCAAAATAACTACTTCGGTCCGTTCTGGACCTTCATATCAGCCGTAACCGAGCAACAGCGGGTTGAGTTGTTGGTTTTGGCCGGCATCAAGTAACCTCAAGTCCCAACACATGTATATCACGGCAACATTTGATCGTGCCGTATTAACGATAGTAAGATTCACTCGGAGCCATCAGACTGCCGGAGCGTCCACCTAAGTACTATACATTTTCAGTATTTGGCACACTCAAGCCTCTTCGAATGTTCAAGTTACCGTCCTAACTCCAAATCCTGTTGCATAAATCTGACCATCACCTGACCATACCTCTGTACTGCCGTCAACAGCAAGGCAAGCATAGTATACAGCCTGCATGTCAACGTTCAGTCAGGCCCACAAGGTCTCTAACGGGAACATGTAAGGAATAATAAGTCTGTGGGAACTTGAGGGTTATGTTCTGGTTCTGTTATGTATTATGTTATGAGACTGTTCAACATGATTCCACTACACATACCAGCATAACTAGCCGACGACCCCTCACAGTGTTCGAGAGAGAACTCGATAAACACCTTTAAAGGATACCTGATCAACCAGGCTGCGATTAATATGTCAGGCTGCGAGCAGCCGCGTTCAACAGCCTGGTTGACCAGTCCAGCAACAAGGAGGCCTGGTTGACGACCGCGCCGCGGGGACGCTAAGCCCCGAAACCGACACAAGGTACCCACCTTGAAGAGGGCCCAGCGCCCAGGAGACCAACACCGCTCCTGCAGCTCTATACTTATCTAACGAGGAAAAAAAGAGCTTAATTGATTGTAACTGAGCAACAGGCTCTTGTACTTGTTGCTTGTGATAGAGCGGAGAGATGTGGGGAAGATTTCACACACGACAAGTGATCGATCTCCTTATGAAACACCTTAATAACAACGTACGTGGCCCTTGAAACGTTCACTCTTCAACTTCGCCTCCAACATTGGAGTTTGTGACTGTTGGCAGATCATGCATCGTGAGACGCATCACAACTTGACAAAACCGTAAGTTATCTATAAAAAAAAAAATTATCTAAAAACTAGCTAATGGAGCTCCAGTGAGCGCTCTCAGGAAGCGTGGTGTCGTCCACAGTGCAGCAAGCACACACAAGCACACACAAAACGAGGCTTGAGACCAGTACCATCAATCACCACAACCATTGACCACCGTCACCATCAACTACCACCACCACCATCAATCACCACCGCTCAACTAGCTGTCCCTCACACCAGAACGCTCACAACACTGCCGGGGAATTTCCACCATCTTCCTGGGCTTAATGCTGATCCTATTTTCCAGTCAGCCCTCCACCATGCACATTCCAGTGTTAAACCAAAGGACAAGCGTAGTCCGTATAACTTGATCCTGCCTGTGATTAACCTATCCATAATACTCAATTACAGGCACTGGCATTAATTCAGTGCTGCTAAGCACTATATATATAAATATTGAATTAAACGATGCTTGCGATAACATCAGTCATATATTATGTTGGAAGGTGCACATTAATTGTTTTGATTGTCGAGCCCTGGTGGCCGAGCCGCTACGGGTGGGCTGGAGGGCAGGAGCCAGATTCACGAAGCAGTTACGCAAGCATTTATGATCGTGTGCATTTTTCCTCAATCTTTGACGGCTTTGGTTACATTTATTAAACAGTTTACAAGCATGAAAAACTTGCCAATCAACTGTTGTTATTGTTATAAACAGCCTCCTGGTGCTTCCGAGCTCATTTATTCTTTAATAATTGTAAACAAAGCCGCCAAAGATTGAGAAAAGATGTATAGGTTCGTAAGTGCTTCGTAAATCTGGCCCCAGGACTGCTTGAGTGTGTTGTGGGTAACAGAGCGAGGTCCACCGCTCAACAGAGGTCGTGGGGGTAATCGGACTCTATCGCTGGTCGGACATTTCTCTAATT